GCAATGAAAAAGTTTAAATAAACTTTTAATCATTTGATCACGCTTCATATTCTCATCATTACGATTTTTTTTAATCCCACGTTTTTAATTTCGTTATTGGTTTTAAGCTGCTGCGTAATAATTCATTTTTCTTGCGTCACTAATATCATACATTGTGTACTAAGAACTGCCCAGGAAACCACAGAAAGTTATACATGCGATCGCTCAAGGAAAAATATTTGCTCAATGATTTCTATAAAAGCTCGATATCAATGTGGTATAATTAACAAATGCAAAGTGAAGATATCATATGCAATAGCTGAAGCTTAAAATAATTATTGGCAAAAGATTGAATGTCTTTAAAATCATATTTACTTCATTTGAATTGAGCGACCTGGGTACATGATTGACAATAGATTTATTTAATGGAAGTTGAAAAGGAAATATGTAGCAATCGAATAACGATGAAAAGAAAATCGTCAAATATTCACAATTGGTATTCCTAAATAAACGAGCCATTACAGATTATTAATCAAACATTTTATATCTTACTAACGTAGATTAGTACTGCTTTATAGTGCTTAGCAACTCGTATATTAAAATGTGTGAAATAAAAGTTACCCTATCTGAAATGTTATATCTAATTATTATACGTTTATCTTACTTTAGTAAAGTTATTTAATCACTTAATGTTTGTAACAAATATTTTCAGAAATTTATAATCAGCAAAAGATCATGTTATTTATACGTGTCAATCGTTTGATCCTTTAACGTGTCACTTAATGCGTTGACTGTAGTCACGATCCCAGCAAAAATACAACATGTGAATGATTCTATGTGTATCCTTATTCTTTATAAAATAGTACAAAATTTCGCGGAGAAAAGTGGTTGGCATGAAAAAGAGAAAAATTCAAGATCTAGAGCAGAAGAGCCAAAATTGTCAAAAGTGACATGTGAGATATTAAATATAATTCGTTATGTATACTGCCCTTACGAAAAAGAATTTCTAGAGGTACATTATATTTAAAATGATAGAAGTAATAAATATGTTGTCAAATAAAAAACTAGAAAATTACCAAACAAAAAATTTATTATATATAGAACGTGTCAACATTAATTCTAAAAAGTCCAATTGTTTGGAAATTCGTGTCATTACATGTGCTACCGACGTTGTGTGATCGCGATTCAGCAACGACGCGTAAAAGCTCGTTTTTCATAAGGGAGATGCGAGAGAGCAGCAAACGCTCGTTCTCTCGGACATACTAACGTGTGATGTGAGTGTGAGAAAAAGGGAAGCATAAGGAAAAAAAAGTGTGGCGTGGCTTTTGCTTTCAGGGAATTAGACTTCCTCTGCCATTGGCGGAACGGAAAAATGCTCTGCTCGCTCTCGTTGTTCCCTCTTTTGATGCGTCGCGACGTCGCAGTGTCTTTGGTAAACATGACACCGTTTTCCGCCGCATCAGCTCTGCCTGTATATCTCTCCACGAAGTCAACGCTGACGATGATCTGCAGAAACCCTACTGCCGCTTACAAGTTTATTTCGCAAACCTACAGCCTAGAAAGCAAAAGGAATAAGAGAAGAGATGATGAGAAATCAGAATAAAGTATATTTTTAACTGTTTTTAATACTCAGAATCGCCTTTCTAATTCAACACTTTGCAAAAAAATTAAATTAACAAGAACACATTTGAATTTAACGAGGCTGTGAAGGCTGTATTCGTTAATGAAAAATTGAATAAAGAAGCCATATAGTCCACATTCGGAAGACAGAGGCTAATACGTTTTCTTTGCATGAGTGCTTTTAAAAAAAGAAGCGAAAACAATTAATAATATGCTGTTGTCATTGCCAGTCGTCTGGTGTGTGTGCCATTAATGACAGGGTGGACTTTGAACTTTACGGGGGTTGCGCGTCGAATTTTAATAGGCTCTAAAAGATGATTCATTGTCGATACTGCGCGTAAATGACAGTCCTTCAAGCGCACAGAAATGCAAATCGGGCATGTCGTCAACGTCGATAGCGCGTGCTCAAACTTTTGTGGAAAACTTCACGGCGGGCTGAAAGCTGACAAAAAACCTAGCCTTATCGGATTGATGTATTGTAAAATAAAAATTTTCAACCACAATCGTCCGTCGATTATTTAAAGAGAATATCTGGAAATAACGAAAAATCTTTATTTCAACACTAAAAGTACTGAATATGAAGTGAAACTTATCCAGTGATGATGACCAGCAGAGAATAAAGTTAATTAATTATCCGTGCAAAAAAGGTGAACAAGTTAAGTGCTACATTAACCACTAAGTCCAGAAATCGGACAAAGAAAGTTTAGCAGGAGAAGAAACGGTTAAAAGCCAAAGCGTCCGTCGCGGTAACGGTGCGTGGTGCGTGTATATATATAAGGCAGATCGTCGAGCAGCAGGCAAATTGAATAACAAAGCTTACCCTCGGCTTTGCGCGCGCGAGTGCCTCACCACCACCACTACCACCAGCCGCGAATTGCCCGTGCCCGTTTCATCCCCTCGTGTGCGCGCGCGCGAGCGCTTTGCATAACGATCTTATTTCGCCATCCCTCGACATATTGATCCGCGGGCACTCGTTCGAGCGAGCAAGCTGCTCGGGAAAATTGTTTATTAGTGGAATGCGTGCACTTCAGTCGTAACGAGGCTTCGCTTGATTTAGGGCTGCGATAGGTAAGCGTTCAATTGCCAGCGTCGGCTCAGTCGTTAGATATTTTCAATTTGCCGATCGCACGAGTTTCAATAGTTTTATCCGAAATTCAAAAAGAAAATAACGAAGCCAGTGCACGAAGAGACTTTCCCCGATCTCAAAGACCGATGAGTCGCGTGAGAGAGGAGAGAGAGAGAGAGAGAGAGAAAAAAATAAGAGACTATTGAAAAAGAAGGCTTTTTATATTGACAGAAAGGAATCAAGGTGATTGTGCAAGTGATTGGCAGTTTTCATCCTTTAACAGGCGAAGAATGTGAGAGATCGGACGGCGAAATGAAACGAAGAAGAAACGAAGCCGCCGTCGCCGCCGCGCGGTCGGCGCATCTATGAAAGGGCAGTAAAGATTTTTACGTTTTTTTCCCTCGTCTTCTTCTTCACCTCTACGGCGAGCACCTAATGATCGCGTAGTGCAAGCGCATTCGTAAAAGGATGTGCGCGCGTGGCACACACGGCAATCGAAGGACTCCGAGCGCACAGTCACTGCCCCTAATAATTCCTGCAACACGCGCGCCCCTTGATCCTTCAGACAGATTCTCGTGATGAGTCGACGACTTTCGTCTTACTGACTCAATTTGCCACTAATAAGTCCATACGTACGCGTCGATAGTGACGTACTTTGCATTTCACGATATGTAGTCGAATTGCATTTACCGCACTCGAATTTTTGACTGATTAATAGCTAAATATGAGAGGTTTTAGACACTCTTGTAAGAGCCTCGTGAAGCCATTGATCGAATACGTTGATTCGGCAACTTATCAAGTATTCTTGAATTATCAAAGTAAAATTTTATCAATTGTTACTATTGTATTAATATACTGTTTTTCCAATCACCATTAATTAGTTCTATTACCAGCTAAGCAAGTTAAAGTCAAGTGGTGCTCATCATAGCTAACGTGTGCAAAAATGTGCGAGGTGGGAATAAAACGAGGTGGGATGGTATAAGTAAAGAGGTGAAGTAGTTTTTATCCAAGTTTATTTCCATATCATATATTCAACAAAATAAATATCGCCGTGTAATTTTGAAAAGAACAATCAATCTCGCAAACGCAATTCTGTATGAAAGAAGAAAAAATCGAAATAAGCTTAACAAGTGATAGAAAGATTTACATATACTAGCCGCGAGAAAACGTTTCCAGGTTCAATTTATTCTGGTCGAGTATATTCCGACAAGGTTGTCGTAATGCTTTTCCCCTTTTAATGTACCAAGCGATTTCGCGTAAGCCAAAAAGTCATGCCGGGGAGGCTGCGTGCTCTGATGTTATGACGGGACATTTCATGGCTCGTAGGATCCGGCATCTAACGGCCCATGTGATATTAGCGAGCACAGCGGTGCCAAGGGGAGAAAGGACCCCATACCTCATTTTGTTCCCCTCTCCCCGATTCTTTTTTTTTTCGACATTGATCTTTTTCACTCTGCCATTTTATTAGCCGACCGACGAATTTGTCTTGCGCGTACACCCAAGTGACTTTTCTCGTTTCCGGTTCTAAACTATACGGATGATTGATCAGTTTGAAACTACATTCAGCTGATGGTGCAGGGAAATAAAAATAGGAAGGATGGGTGGTAATAGTGATAATGAAGCTGCCATTTATGTAAATATGTACAGCTTAAACGAGACAAGAGCAAGATTAGAATCTTTCGAAGCAGTATATGGTTGATAAACTTACGTTCTTCGTCCGCGATAAGAGGATGTGGCGAGCAGGTTGAGACGTCAAGAGAGCGGCGTTGACAAGAGCAAGGATTCGAGAGCGAGGAGCAAACGTTGGTCGATTGTTACTTTTTTTATTATTTTCTGTTAGATTGTGCTTTCATATAGAGAGAAAATAATGAATGTGTTGCATTGGACGCAGAAAGGAGTTGTTTTGCAATAGTTGTTTGATGCAATGAATAGTGACGCGTACTTTTTGTTTTATTCACAAAAGCATCATTTATTGTTCTCTGTTTATCATCTTTTTTCATTGAATTTTATAATCTTTATAATAATAATCTAATAATAATTAATAATAATATAATTAATAATAATTAATAATAATTGTAAGATACTAGCATTGAGATAGAGCTGATCGTCGTGATATGAGAGGAGTTGCGTCGCGCTCGCGCGACCATCTTCCAAATAGTTCAATAGCAATGATAATAATAAATTTGGTGTCCATTGATTTAGACGAAAAAAAAATTTGCTTTTATTTAGTTTCTCCTCTCACTGTATATATATATACATATACATATACATATATATATATATATATATATATATATATATATATATATATAATGAACTTTAATCGATTCGCATACTCTTCCAATATGGAGAATCGAGGACGCTTCACAAAATCGGCGAGGCAAACGCGCAACTTTTGTGACTAGTCGCCATTTTAATGCTTGTCTAGATAACATCATCTAAGTAATCCTTAAAACTGTGTACAAGTGTTTGTGTGTTTACGGTGTGCCGGCGGTCGTGTCTCAACTATTATAATGTTTTTGCTTTTGTCCATATTAACTCTCTTTGTCGTCCCTTTGTACTCACACTCGATCAAACTCTCACGCACTCGTTCACTCGACTAAAATTGTCCTTAATTTCTCTATTCAACTATATATATATAACTTTATACAATGTGTTGGTGTGTGTCACAACGTCGCAGCGTATATTTATAAATTTATATTCATATAATAGTAAACCTAACGATGAAATGAAAGAACAACGTATATTCATGAAAAGACATTCACACTCTGACACTCTTGGGCACTCGCACTCACTCGTGTCGTCTACCATGATCGGGTAGAAACGCGCGCACTATGTATAGCTATTTACACGTGTCTTTTCAATCTATATATAAATATATATGTATACGCGTGGCTGTATAGATATATATACACATATAGGTATATGCATATCGACGAAACGACTCTGTTTCTCCTGCTTGTGTACATGACACGAGGACAAACAAGATCGCAGTTGATCGGTACTCGATTACTCGGTAATTGTATCGTTTCGTTCAGAGTAGCAGTAGTCCGTTGGTTAAAAAGTAGAAAAACGAATGTGGCGTGCGAGGGAGAAGGGGGTAGCGCGCAGGAGTGTCGGCCTAGAGACTATGTACAGGCGGCGGCGAGGATGGCGAGGGCGTCTGCGGGTGGACGGGAGTGCCGGGCGTCTGGGAGTAGGAGTTGGCAGCGGCCTGCTGCTGGTGGTGGTGGGAGTGCTGCTGGTGCAGCGACTGCTGCTGCTGGGCGTACTGCGATTGCATGAGGTGCGAGTTGGACTGGTGGATGAGGTTGAGGTTCAGCGGGTAGGATAGGGGGGAGCCCAGGGCCGCGTGGGAGGCTGCTCCGGGCCCCACCGGGCTCAGTGCATGCTCATCCCGGCGTGCGGATGATGATGATGATGGTGATGGGCCGAGACGGAGGCCGCCGCCGCCGCGTGATGAGGATGGTGGTGCATTAGCGGCGGGAGATGCGGGTGGTGGGGATGGTGTTGACTCAGAGACGAGGGATGCGTCATCTGCATGGGGGTCATGGGCGCCGTCGACTGATGCGACAAGGTGTTGTTGGCGCTGCTCTGCTGCGAGCTGGTGCTGGTGTCCTGCGAGCTGGCCTGCGGCGGCGGCGGCGGCGGCGGCGGCGGCGGAGCCCCCAGCGCCGGCATTGCCGACGCCTGGGGACCCGGCTGCTGCTGCTGCTGCTGCTGCTGCGCCTGCTGGGCCAGGCCCGGGGCCACCGGCACCTGCTGCGCCGCCGAGCTGGAAGTGGGACTCTGTTGGCTCGCGTTGTCCTCGCTGTCGGAGCAGGACTCGGCCGACGAGCTCCCCGCTCCCCCCTTGCCCTTGCTGCCGCTGCTGCTGCTGCTGTGCGTCTTGACGTGCTTCGCGAGGTGATCGCTGCGCATGAACCGCTTGTTGCAGACCGGGCAGGCGAATCTCTTTTCTCCGGTGTGGGTTCGAAGGTGCCGCTGCAATTCATCCGAACGTGTGAACCGCTTGCCACAGAAAAGCCAGTTGCAAACAAACGGTCGCTCACCCGTGTGCCAGCGCAGGTGGGCCTTCAGGTGGGACGTCTTGCCGTAGACCTTGCCGCAGCCGGGTATGTGGCAGCTGTGGATGTTCTTCTTCCGCAGATGCACGCCGGCCGGTCCGAGTCGCTCGGCCTCCTGGCAGTTCGGGCAGTCGCAGGTGGCGCGACCCGTGTATCTGCGCTGCGAGCGCGGCGACGGGGCCTGGCTGACGCCCGCGCCGCTGGCGCCGGTGGCGCTCTGAGGACTGGAGGCGCCACCGGCGCCGCCGCTGCCCGAGTGGTGGTGCAGGCCGAAGCTCGGCGGCCCACCGGGCAGCATCGACTTGTACGTGTCTTGCAGCAGGTTGTGGCCGGCGCTCGTCTGGCTGAGCAAGTGGTTGCCGGCCAGGGCGAGGCTGGTCGAGTAGTCGGCCGAGTAGTTGGCCATCTGAGCGGCGTGCACGCCGACGCCGACGGTGCCGCTGACGTCGAGCCAGCCGCCCGTGGCGGCGCCGTGCATGTCCCACCAGCCGTCGCCCGCCTTGATGCCGCCGTGGCTCGCGCCCGGCATGGCGTTGAACGGCCACGATTCGTACGGGTGTCTGCCGTAGACGGAGCACGAGCCGAGCGTGGCGCCCTCTACTTTCCCGAGGATACTCGTCTGGTGGTGGTGATCGCTGGCCGGCTGGGCGCTGGCGGTGCCGGGGAAATACAGATCGCTAGCATACTGAGGGGCCGTCGAGGCGCACGAGGTGACGGGCGCGCGGGCGTAGCCGCCGCCGCTGCCGCCCGCGCTGCTCGTGGCCGTCGGGCGCTGACCGATGCCGGTGCTGTTGGCGCCGCACGCGCTGCCCGCGTTGCTCGTGTGCTGGGGCGAGCTTCCGCTGCTCTGCGGGCTCTTCTTCCACGGGTGGAAGCCCTTGCCCACGGCCGCGTCCGCCAGCGGCGGCGGACTCTTGCTACTCAACTTGTTGCACTGCGCCGCGAGCATCGCTAGAGGTGTACCACGCAGTCCCGGGTGCTCCTGCAACATACAAAGGGAATACCTTGGTGAGCAAAGCGTCTTTCCTCCGCGGCTCCCGCAGGCTGGGGCTCGGCGTCGCGGGCGGAGGCGACCGGCCTGCGTTCTCGGAAGGCCGCCGCGTCAAACTCGGGACGCTTCGCAGCGATCGATTACGCTTTCCCAGAAGTGTAAAACCCACCAGGTCGGTCGTACTCGTTATAATTTCGTGATTTCGGGCGAGTGTGCGGCGCGAGCGAGCGCCCTGGCTAATCGCGTATTTTTTCGGGGGCCCCGGACTGGTCCAGCGCGGCGGCCGCTCGTCTCGCTGCTAATCGCGGCTGTATTAAAAAAACCTGGGGGAGGGGGGTCTTTACGGCGCCTGCGTGCGCCGGTCCTCTTTCCGTCTGCGGCTCCCAGGGTCGCGAGTCCTCGCTCTCTCGGCCGCTCGCGCCGCCGCCCGAGGGTGCATAATGACACTAAATTGGCTCGCTGCTTCTAGTCTAGCTACACGGAGAGGGTCGCCGGCTCGCTCGGTCTCTCCGCGTGGGGTTATATAGAGGAGCAGAGCTTGCCCGACAGATCGAAGATTGGCTCAGCGCGGGTAATGAGGCCTGAGGCGACTCTCATCTAGGGCAGTTTCATGCAAATTGTCCCCCAGGCTCGCGCTGCTCGCCGTGTAGGTGTGCGTCGCGCGGAGCGACCCACCACTACACCGACGCCGCCAGATATCAAAGGCTACCGCTCTGCGCTCGGCGATGGGGCTTGAACGAATGCGACAACGAGACTTTTTCGCAGCGAGTGCTCGATTGTCGATGCATTTTCAAGATTGCGCCGATCGCATGCGCCGCCGGGCTGCCTCCAATCGGAGAGCTCTTATCGCAGGAATCGCCAGGCCAATGTTATCGCGCGCGCAGAATCAGCGCGAAAATCCAGCTGGCGCGCACAAATCTCAATTTAAATCCAATCCCCGGGAAAAAGCCGAGCTGGCCGTATACTCGGCGAGCGAGCTCGTAAAAGGAAAAAGAAAAGAGAGAGAGAGAGAGAGAGAGAGAGAGAGAGAGAGAGAGAGAGAGAGAGAGAGAGAGAGAGGAAGGCAAATTGCGAGCTCGCTCGCCATCTGCAGGCGCGTGTGCGCGCGGCCGCTCGGAGTGCTCGGCGGAAATAAGGAATAGACGCCGAGGATTTGTCGAAAAGGGATATTTTGGGAGCCGGCGAAAAGGTATAAAAGGATTGCGAGGGCCAGTGCAGGTATACGTGTGTATGCGTGCGCGGAAGCAACGCGGAGCAGGAAATTAAAGTCTGGCGGCCCGTGGCCATTAGCAACCGGCGCCATCGAGGCGACACGCCTCCCCACCCACCCGCGCTCGCACAGTGGCGCGCAAAGACAACGCGCGCTCCGATCTGTCGTGTGTATACATTTTTATACATATATATATAGGTGCTGTTGTGTAAGTGGCCACACAGGGAAATTCAGAGGAAAGGGTTTTTCGATGCGCGACGTTGGACGGTCTTTACCTGCTGGTTATAGACGTCGCGTCGCTCTGCGTGCGGTTAATTGCGTTTGATCGCAATAAAATATGAGGTTGGTTTTCTCTCTCTCTCTCTCTCTCTCTCTCTCTCTCTCTCTCTCTCTCTCTCTCTCTCTCTCTCTCTCTCTCTGTCAAAGGAGTATGAGTGCAGTACATTTTTTTACTATTACCACGTAGGACGAGAAGATAGCTTCGCTGGCAATTTAATGATTCAAGGAATTTAACTTTAGGCCCACGTCTCATTTCAAGCTGCAACGACGTTGGACGCCAGCTGAACGAACTTATGCGAGTGTGTAACATATCATTGGCAAAATCTTATGGCCGTAGTAAACACAAGCAATTCAACTGCACTTTTTCTATCCTAGAAAATGTAACATCTTTACACAAGAGGACGCGTCCATCTATCGACGAGCAAATCGAACGTGCAACCAATTCGCGAAGCTCAGCGACGCAGTAATCTTATAGCTTTATGAAATATTGGCAAGCTTACGACCAGTAAAATAGGCTACGAGACTCTAGCTGACAAGTAAAAAGGTAACGTCAATAAGGAAGCGTAACCGGTAATTATAAACGATGTGCATGCGTCTCTATAGACGGGTCTATGCGTGCCGCGGAGAACAGATGAGAGAAAAAAGGGAGCACCAAATCATCGGCTGCATTGCTGGTCGACGACGATTCAAAAACTTGTCGAAAGCCAGTAGCTCGAGGTTTGGAAAAGGTGGAGTTTCCCCGGGGGTTCGCAGAGAGCAGCCACGCCCTCCGCGTATGTACACGCGCGCCGACTGGATAGAGTTCTCGTATTGATCCGGCTGGCGCCGCGACGACGACGCTATAACGCGGCTGAGGACGCCTCGCCTCGACACAATGCAGGCGCGCAGAGGCTGGCGAGAGGCGCGGGCTGCCAGGAGACGACAACGCGCTTTTCATCGCCACGCGGATTAACGAGCGGCGAAAGGGTTGCGCGGTGTCCCGGGAAAACGCAGCCCGACTCCCCTCCAGCCATCCATTTCTGCGTTCGCGAGGTTCGATGACGACTGTCGATCGATAATAATTGAAGCGATCGCCGCGACGGCTCCGCGTAATGCGCTCGATAGCCGATGAGAAGGAGAGAGCGAGGTGTTTTAAGATTCGCGAGAAATAGCTTAGGAGTGGTGAACCAAGGTGGGCACGGCCGCTGCTCGCGAGCGGCGCGCGTGTATGATTACTAAGTGGTACGACGGCGCGCGGCGGTCGCGGCACAATATCAGGATTTGTTGCGAGCTCAGACTTTCATCGTTTCAGAAGGCCGAGCCGTGCACGCGGCGGTCGCGCTGCAGGCAGAGCAGCCTACTGGAGTGAGCGCCAGATTATTCATAGGCGTGTCTCGCCGCTCACTCGGAGAGCCACGTCCGATTGTCTCTGAATCGTATCGGTCCGTGCGATGCCTATACAGAGCCTCGTTCAATTTCGCGTGTCAGCAGGGACGGCCATGGGAACTTTTATAAATTTCCAATTCGGAAAAGAGCAAGCGCGCGCAATTTCGGTATTAACAACTTTGACCGTGTGCCGAAATTCGCACTCGATAAACTGGCCTCGTGTAATCATAAGGAATCGCGCAATAACCCCAAAAGCGCAGAATTACACCGTCCCGAAAGAGAAGGATCAAGGGTTTCGCCGTCGAGCGGAGTTCGCATTAATAGGGCTAACAATTGAAGGCCATGCGCGCGAAAGCATCATCGGGCGCCGTGAGGATATAACAAAAAAGAAAGGGTATTCGTCGCGCGCGCGCGCGCGCGAGAGAGAGAGAGAGAGAGAGAGAGAGAGAGAGAGGGAGAGGCGGCCTTGTTTTAGCCGCGCCAAGGGTTAATAACGTCGGCAGCATAAATTTCAGCGGAGCCTGCGCTGCCACTGGCAGATCCTCGAAAAATCCTCTTCACTCTATATACATTTGATTCTGTATTAGCTTGTGCTTCCGTCGATAATTCATTTCTCGCTCTCACACATAATTAACAAAGTATTCACACACAGTTCGGATATATATCTTCCTGTTCGCCAAGGTGGGTATATCAAGAAACAGAGTATATTCGCTAAGCGTATAATTTGCCAATTGATAGCCAAGAGCCCATCTCTCTCCCACACGTAGCCGAAGCTACTTTGCCATCGAACGCTTCCATTCTGGCCACGCGAAGCGATCGACCGATAGTATGTACATGGTCGATTCCACGAAAACAAATGCATCAATACATTTCCAGTATTTTCTAATGTTCAATGACGTTCATCTCGCTTCAAATTCAAAATTATAGAGGCCGAAATGTTAAGTCGGAAATCGTTTCTTAGTTTATTTTTTATATCGACCCTTCAAAAGTTTTGAAAACCCACAAATCTCACTCAAACTTGTTCGATTTGTAGCTTCATTAACTTTCATTAACTTATGCAGCGCTACAGTTTTCAAAACTTTGCAAAAACTAAAATTTTAAGCTCAAAAGCATAAATTGAAATTTAAAGTTAGATTGACGTGGACAAATGAAAATCCGATCTAATTTAATCCTTTTACAATTGCACGCACACACACTCACACATGCGCACATACACTCATAAACACGCACGCACGCACGCACGTACGCACGCACGCACACACACACACACAAACAGACACGCGCGCACGAAAATAGTCTGCTTAATACGGGTAAAACTTCTAGTACCGATTATTTATTTATCAGTTACATGATATTATAAGTCATAAATGTATACGTGTGTCGAGTTTTGTTGCAGTCCATTCGTCTTTTGACATCTTTTTTTTTACTACAACTTCCTGCGACGTTAACGTCTTTTTAAATGCGAGGTGACCTTTTTTTGCTGCTGTTGTAGTTAGATATTTTTTTTTTGATCGTTAATGTTGTGTGTGCAGAATATTTCAAACTATAAAAAAAACTTTATTTCTTATACAAAAGTGTATGTTTTTCACGTTCATATTTTGCCAATAAACTAAGGAAGTATTGTCTAAAAGTCAAGCAAGAAAAGTTCGGATAGAGAGTTTGCGGTTAAAGCTAAAAGCTCTCTATGTATAACTTGAAAAGTATACGCATTATATACCAGTTTCATAGCTTAATTTCAATAAAGCGAAAGTATGCCTTGGTGAAATTATTCATCTTTGGCATATAACTCTGAAGTGCAGTAAAATCGGCAGCCATTTGTTCGTAGATCGCAGGTAAATTCAAAATGTTCTTTCTTTCTTTTGAATCCACCATTTGCTACGCTTTCATCGATGTAACTTGCTAGATTCGGGAATCAACGATTATATGTATTGTCAGTTTCCTTCATTCCGACGTGATTCCACGCGTATATCGAGAGTCCATTGATTGGGTCGTCGAAGAATATTGAAGAGAGAAGCTGCGAAGAATATTGAAGGGCCATAGGTAAAGTCTATCTTGCTTACGCGGTCAGATTAATAATTTTATTCATGAGCCCTGAAGACGCCTTCTCGGCTCCGTTAAGTTCCCACCAGCGTCTTGG